GTATATATTTGTTCTTAATTTGGTTAGTTCAGCATATTCCAGTGGAGACTCATCAGGTGATGCAAGTGACGCACTGCTTCACCTAAAATTTCCGTTTGGTTGTGCAATTTAAAAATATGTATTTTTAATTTTATATAAATCTTATTTTAGGTATAATTCTATATTGAAAATGTATTGTGTTTGTTTGTTCAATACGCAGAAATAAACAGAATAGTTGCGCGGTGAACGCATTCTAAAAAACATTAAATGTGTCTATTTTTATTTTCGTATTTGTTTTTTATGGGATCAGTTCAGCATATTTTGCAGAGCAAATATGAAGGCTTTCGAATTCCTTTTTTTATGGTGTGAATGTTAAGTTGGGATCCACATATACTCCTAGATGTTTTATATTATACTTTCTTTCATTAATTAAATTAAATAATTAACGTCATTGAAATTGGTGGAAGTAGCCATGCCAAAAAACGAAGACCTTTTTGAACATAGGTTTAATCTATATACCGATAAATAATTTAGGTGTGAAAGTAACTTTTTTTTCTAGATAAATGATGAATGACATTTCTGTCAAATACATACAAAAAAAGATTTAAAAAGGGAAAATTATTAGTTTTTTTGTGGTATGCAGGATATGAAATAGATATGTAACGGACAAGTTCAATATTAATTATGAAAATGCAATTGGCACATATAAAAAAAATTGATTGAGGTTGGGGTATAAAGCAAAGACGCAAAGAGCAAAAATATGAAAACATATTAGTAGTTCACTACTAAAAACAACAGAGTTCCCGGCAAACGTTGCAAATTCTAATGTGTTTTGGTTTTCAGAAGAATCCGGATAGTTCCCAATCGTTTAGAATTTTGTCTTAGTGCGTTTATACAGGGTATTTCTGAGATAAGTGCGTTCCTTGGAAAGGGCGATAGAAGTCACGAAAATGAGCAATTTTTATTAAGCAACTGATAGTCTAAATGCTTCTGTTTTCGAGAAAATTAAGAAAATTAACCATAAAGGTAAACCATGTGCATCTTGTGCAAGTGCACGTCCAGAATGCTTCGACTCGCTACATGCGTGAAGCTCCTCTAATTGGGGGACGTTCCACATAACTTCCCCAATCAAGCAAATCTGATGGTAGGTCAATAGTCAGTTTGTCATGTGTTCTTTAGTTGTGTTGCAGGCCTTAGCCTGCGTATAAAATGTTTTCTGATTAAGAACTAGTAGAATAAATAATGTCAGTACAATTTAAATGAGACTTGTCGTTTGTATGCGGTCCGTCACTGTAACAGAGGACAACCTAACAGAAGAACAGTGCAAAAGGCAGTTCAAAGGTTACGGGATACCGGGAATGTCCATCTGACACATTATGAAGGCCGAAATATGTTTCCGACAACGAAGAAAACATCATAAACCTCGTTGAGGAAGATTCGAGCCGCAGTACTCGCGACAATGGCCGAGAAGTGGGTGTATCTAACAGTACCGTGTGGCGTGTCCTACGGGAACAATTCTTACACCCCTATCACGTCATGTCATCGTCTATTGGTAAGTAATTCGTTTATTTGTTTAATTTTTGTGTTACTTTTAAACGAGATGTGATTAAATTTTACCATTTTCGAATACAACATTGAAACCGTCAAAACCGCCATCAGCGCTTTTGCACTACGGCGCGCGGTGACTTCGATACCAAAGGTGCAGTTGGCTTCCGAATCAGGGATGGTTTGAAATTTGTTTAAACCATCATTTCTTTTTTTTCAATTTAAAACGTAATGTTTAAGACCATGAGTTTTCTGCGCAGATTCTATACCGTTCAGAAATAGAGAACCCGAACAAAGTTTTTGATTGTCGGTTTTGTTGTTGAAACTTTGTAGAGTTAAGATGGAAGTTTTCTATATTTACTGTTTCTGTTCCTGATTTCGTCCTGTTCTAGTTTTTTTTAATTAAAAGATCGTTAATACTCGTTTCCAGTTGACTCACTTTGTCCCTAAAACTTTGATCTGAGCGAAGTTGTTTTGATAATTTTCCTGTTAAAGATATTTTTGTTAGCAGCAAAGGTAAAAAGATTACTGCTTATGTTTCGGAAATTCGCAATTCTTGCCCTTTGGAAGCTTTTGTAAAGCCACATTTCTACTACCCCCGAACGAAAACATCGCGTTACAACCCTGCGTGAAAGAAATACGGTCCGCAATGGCGGCGCGAATTAATTACCGTGTGTGCCTGACGCCTCCTTACAAATTGCATCTCATCTCGCACCTCCCGGCGCTCCTCGCCTGTTCGCTTCCACGGCCGCCTTAATGGACTCCGGGCCGGCTCATTGTTCGCGGACATGCAATGTATCCCCAGACCGTTCGCGATTACTCACCGTGACGGGCCGGTGCAGCGGACAGCTCACGTAGAGTTCGCGGTACAATGTACTCGGGCCAGGGAATAACAATGGCGTAAAGTATCCGACATGCGAAGCGGCATTTAACTAATTTCAGTGAATAATTGCGGGTCGCGAGGCGGCCGTTGTTAGAAATAAAGCTCGCCTCTCCTGAATAAAAATTCGCATTTCCGCTTCACGGGATGCGTGCAACGCTCTTGCTTCTCTGATATTAACAATCCAGCATTGCCTAAATACATTTAACAACCGTCTGAACGCTATTCTACATACAGGGTGTCCCAAAAGACCCGAATCCTTCGATATTTCAGGTGAAAGTTACATCAAGCAACTAATATAATAGTGTCCTTGAATTTGACCTAGACCAAGGTCAAACTGAGATTAACTTGAAAATATTAAATGGAAGAACAATGCCAACAATTGATAAGCGTTGGTTGAAATTTAACGTCCGAATATGCAGCAAATTTTTCTTGTATATTTTTTGGAGGTCATGTGAAGGACAGACTCATTTTTCTCTGAATAACTCGACAAGATCGAACTGTGGAAGAAAATGTTTCAAGCAAAATGTGTGGTATTTTGAATAACAAATTAAACGGGACCTCCTTGGATTTGACCTTCACAAGTTGCAAGGTCAAACTAAGATCAACTTACTATCAAATAGAATACACTATGTTTTATTCCAGCAACCGATACCCCAGCCAACTGTTGTGGGGAATTTGAAATCAAAAAACTTTTCCAGGATGTCCTTGCAGATCATTTGAAGGTCAATTTCATTTTTCACAAAAAGTAATGGATATAAAAGGAATCGAATTAATAGACGTATTCGACTGAAACTTATTAGTGTGATCATGGCAATTCTGAAATTTAACACATTGTTAGGTTAGTAATTAAAAGATAGAAACTATTCTGGAGGTTGATATCTCGTTGTTAAGTTAAATACAAGGTCACCATCTGCTAATGTGTCAATCAAAATCCTACAAATATTTCTTGAAACATTTTTGTCCAGTTATTCAGAGAAAAATAAGTCTGACTTTCAAATGACCTACAAAACCATGAAGGGAAAAATGTATCGATTGGGACGTAAAATCTAGCGCCCAAGTTGACGTCGGTTTGACCTTCAAACTTAGGTCAACTTCAAGTTGACGAGCTACAACTTCAAGAAAAACACACTTTCCATTTTGAAGGTCCATTTCTTCTGCTTTTCATTTTATTACTGTTAATCTGTCTTTAAAATCATTTTAAACTTACTACAATCTTTTAAAGCACACAAGAAGCAATAGGTAAGTAACAAAATTTTACACACCTGAACAAATTACGTTTAATGAGAAAAAAAGCCGTGAATAGCTACTATTTGGTTACGGTCGGACTAGATAGAGCCCAAGCTGCATTGTAAATATGCGCTATTCCCACTGCGTCTTTCACTACTGCGCGACAGTAACTATGACCACCGCTGTAAACACTTTAGGAGCGAGCTACGAAGAGCCCATGTTTTCAAACGAATTTTGCAAGTCGAGTTAAATTGACTACACATTACAAACGCAACATTTCCTTCTGTGTTTCAGAATGTCAATATATTTAATTATCTAGACATCATTATAAACAGAATTATAAAATAAATTTGGCAACGGTATCCTATTCTCAATGATATAGGCTACTGTAGCCAATGAATGCTCTGTTCAGTATTCTTCGAAAAAAGTAATTGAAATGATTGATTATTCCTTTTTTTAGGGTGTCATCTTACTACCCGCAGCTTCGTGGATTATTCTACAACCCTCTGATGGACATATAAGATATCCCAGTATAGATCTGCTGCAGTGATTTGAACCAGCCGTAGTTTTATATAACTTTAAATTAGTACCTAGCCTTTCGTCTTTAAAAACTGATACCTTCCCTGTATCTCACCAGAAAGTTGCAGCTCTTGAATGATGACAGAATTTATAACTTATTTATTCGTTAGACAAATGCTCTATGGTACAGAGATTGCGGATATTGATAATTTAACATGATCACTTATGCTTAGTTGTGCTAAACTGCTTGTTATTTTGTGCCATGTTCTTTAGAATTTCGTTCACTTGTTTATTAATAAGAAGCTCTAAATTAGTAAAGCAATTGCATGGGTCACTTAAAGAAATAGCAGTCAAATATAGGGCTATCACTGGAAATAAATAGAATTTCACCTGCAAGGTATTCCGTTGGAAAGACCAGGTCTCTCTGTTCTTATTAATCTGATAGATTGTGTAAAGTTTTCTGTTAAAAAACTGTATATCGACTTCATAAAAACGTATATTATAGTTTTTCAAAAACTTAATTGCATGAAAATTAACCACTCTGTATGTTTATCTTACTATTTGGCTTGCATGTATGTTTGCCGTATAATTATACTTGTTTATAATTCAACATGTTTTATAAATAAGTATATGAATAATTAATATATAACATTCTCTAAAAATAATGTTTTCATATCTTTCAGTACTTGTGTAATTGTGATGTATTAATCATGTTTATTTAAATTTACAGCATATAATGTATACATTATTTCTTTCACTGCTGCCAACATATTCTATATAAATATTTCATATTTTGCTTGCCAGCAAAATTAATTTAAAAAATATAATAATAGTGAAAGGTACTTACACTCTTTGAGCAGAATTTTCCCTGAAACAAGACATAATATGGTTAATAACACTTATACAATTTTAAATGATATATTTTACTATTATAGGGCCAATATTTTTGCGAAATCATATTTGATTAACATTTCACAATTAAGTATACACCTAATTAAATGTTCATATCGACCAATGTGATAGCCTCATTAAGCTCGTAGTAAAATTTAACAACATTTTCATTCTAAATTTAGGCATTATAATTAATGTTTCAGTCGATTTGTTGAAATCAGCAACAAATTATGTTATTTATAATGATTGATATTGGCCCAAACCAATGTCGCTGATAACAAAAACTTGGCAATTAATCATTTAAATGTATTTTCATGATTTGTTTTATTGTGATTTATGACCGTTTAAATCTATAATTATCCAGCCATATACAACAATGTTGGCAACATTATAAAAGGAATATGATGTCACACAATAATATATATTTAATTTATGAAACTAATTTACATATACTACAATTCCTAACACCATTTGGTTAAATGATACACGGCAATAAATTGTGGGAAAATATATTTATAATCGTGCTACATCATTTAATTTTTTTACATACCTATTTTTACATAAAAACATTAATTATTAGTTTCACAAGGCATGATCTTATTATTATGACTTGATTTTAAAGTAAATGACCATCCTAATTTCATAAAAGCACTACATTGTAAAAAGAAGCAATTGCACACTATACATACAGTAACATTTTGCATATAAATTAATTAAAAAAAAAGCGACAAAGATAATTTACAACTTAGTGCAATAAAAATCCCATTTAATTTTTTAAATGAATATTTCGACAGCATGAAAACAAAATAAGAAATATTGAAACGTGTATCGAGATCTTCAATGCATTTTAAATTATTTGTGGCACTGAATCAGAAAACATTTCAGTTTCTACCTATATAAAATTCGTGCTATTTTTTATGTAATTTTCCACATCCTAATTGAGTTATAGCATATTTATTTACATTGTACATGAGGCTATCATCATCTTGACACGAGTAAACTGTTTTCCGTCAAGAAAATCTTTATTTAAGTGCATTAATTTACTTGTGAGAATTATAGTATCCTCATATACAGGATGCAAATAAATATAGTCTTGATTTAAGACAATATTTTTTCTGTGATAGGCTTTGTTACAATCATAAAGATAAATATCTACATATAAAACAATAAATTTGACATAATACATAGACTATAAAGAATATATAAATATCTAATAGTTCTGTTCAAATCTATTTTTAACTATGGAATAACATTCCATGATCACGAGTAAGTTATGTAAATATTATGCTTCCATTAGATACCCAGACATCAAGACTTAATCATCGTCTAATAAATAATCAGTAAGATTATTAAAATTCAATCTAAGAATAAATTAGAAATAATTCTTACCAAATAAAAACTGCTAAAGTGTTAAAACTTTTCGATAAATTTATTACATATAATATATTAATAAAATGCTAATACAAGAAGTACGGTTTCAAAACAGCAACAATCTGCTATATCGGCTATATCTAAAACCAATTAACTTTAGATTAGCTTGAAATATGTTACATATTTACTTTGAAAATAGTTACAATTTCAAATTAAAAAAGATAATGGAAATTTATTTCTAAATCTTTAAAATACCCTACGTACATTGCACGTAAATAATGCTTTATGTACTAATTAATTATTAAGTCCATATTTGTCAAACGTAAAAAAACATCGTAATTTTTTATTCAGTTTCAGCAAAATACAAATGTCTTAAAAATTTCATCCTTAGTGTTTAGAAAGATGTGCTTATACGTGTGAGTTATACTTATACAATGTTTTATTTAGATATACAGGGTGTCCGAAAAGGTCATATTGTAGTACTTCATAAAAAGATGTTTTCTATAGGGCTTGTGGGTTGTGGAGTTATTCGCCTTCAAAGATAAAAGTTGAAAAAGAAATTCCAATTAAGTATAACTTCTAAGTCGTTACCATGACAACAGTGAAATTTAGGCAATTAAAGTAACTCGTGGTAATGTTCATTCCCAAGTTTAAACTGATATTCAATATGCCTGGATTATACAGGAGTAGACGAAATTAACAATTTAAATTTATATATCTTTCCCAGTGTTGCCAAATTTGGCATTTTCCTTTCATAGTTCTATTCCTCTCTCACTTTGCTAAAAAAAATGTATACCGTATACCTATCAGTTGACACATTGTACCGCTTTTGAGAAAATTGAATTTAATTAACAACATACATTTTTTGTAACAAAAATGCGACGTTTAACTTTTTTGTAAAATTCTTGGTTTCTATAGAAATTATTAAAAGAAAAAAGAGAAGTATTAAGTAAGATGTTCAATAATAATATGTGCACCTTGAACTTCAATGCAATTTCTGAAATTGCTCAAACACCTCTGCTGTACTAGAAACAACATGTGGTGATCATTTCTAATGATGTCGGCGTATGTAATTATGCGATTTAATAATTCTTCCCTATTATTCACAGGAGTTTGAGAAACAAGACTTTTAAAATGGCCCCAAATAAAAAAATCGAGATGATTAAAATCGGGAGACCGAGACAATCACATAAAAGGACCACCTCGACCGATCCAACGATCGGGAAATGTGGTATTTAAATAAGGCCTTACTGCCCTGCTAGAAACGGGTGGTGCACCACCTAGTATAAGCCTCATGTTATTTCGAATATTTGAAGGGACGTCTTCCAACTACGGATTAAGGTGTTCTTGCAAAATGTAGGTATTTATCCCCATTTAAAGTGCCATCAATGATATGTGGTCCCACTAATTTCCAATTCCACTAGTTTCCAATTATTCCCATCTATACATTAATGATAAATTAATGAATAACAGCATGGGGGTTTTCGTCACTACAAATATGCAAATTGTGGGAATTAGTTATTCCTTCCCGAGTAAATACGGCTTCATCACTTAAAAAAACTTTGCTTATAAAGCCATGGTTAATTGTTTGGTTTTCCAGAAAAGCCGTAGAAAACTGTACACTTACAAGACAGTCAGCTTCAGACATAGTGTGAACGTAGCGACTTAGCAGTTATATTTGGAATTTGTTTTTCAATTTCTTTCTTTGAAGGCGAATAACGCCACAACGAGGCCAATAGGAAAAATCTTTTTATGAAGTACTACAACTATTTTTACCTCCCCTGTATACCTCTTCATTTTTGACATTACCTTTCCGGATACCCTGTATATTTTAATTTATTGATTTCTGCCTTTTTATATATATTTTATTATGTAACTAATATTCAATGTTAAAAATCTGTAAAAGCAAAAAGCACAGAAAAAGACCGTATCTTATTGAAACATATTTAAGTAAATAGGATACAAAACTGGTTAAATTGGATATCAGTTCATTTCAATAATCATCGCATCAAAAACGACATTTTAATTAAGTCTTATCATTAATGAAATTCTCAAAGTAATATATTCGTGTTCCTTAACAGCTAGATAGCAGATAAGGAACCTACTTACACCTTCCTAAAAAATGTGGGAGCGTCAACCAGCGATTAGACAGGCCTGTTTACAGTCGATTAATATACACTGAATATTAAATGTCAATCAAGCGATAATTTAACTTTATTGACTTCGATTATTATTCATAAAACGACCAATAGACGTTGTACGCCAATTAATCTGGTTAAAATGAAATTTCATTAATTTGCAATAAATTGTCATTATAACAACCGTGTAATTAACCGTGAAATATATGAAAGGATTTCTTTAAATTAATTTAAATGATATAAAGTGTCGTGTAGAGCCGCTCCAAGAGTAATACCCCCAATAATTAAATACCACATAAATAAAATCACGTATCTAGATGGACGTAATTAAGAAATTCTATTAACCCAGCCCATTAAAAAAACCTTTCAACGAGAAACTTAATAGAAAATATCTTAAGACTGTTTATTTACACGTCATGTAAGAATAGCCTTGTAAATAACCTGCAGAGTGGATTGGAGAATTCAGAGCACATTCTTTTCGGGTGGAACTTTTAATTTATAGGAATGTTTTTAAACGGAACGTACAATTGAATGTTTTTAAATGGAACTTCCTCAATAATCACTTTTTCCAAATGGGAAGTGATTAAAATTAAATTTCATTTGAAATAAAATTGCAAAAAATTCTGGACTACAGGTATTTTAAAAACGTTCTACTTGTCTTTCGAAAACCCATATACCTATACCAAATGAAGAATTGCCTATTTGTGCATTTTCTGTATGTCAAAATGGCCAGCGCAATGCTTCTTATCTATTTAGCATGCGGGGGTTTTTGAAGTCGCTTATTACGAATCTGAAGTCAAATCTGCAAAATTCAAGATGGCAGATCCAATATGACAGACGATATTTTCGAAAATCAACCGATCTACGTCAAATTTGGTACACGTGGATTTTCGGGGTCGTTGATCACGAATCTGGGGTCAGAATTCAGAAGTTTCGGCGGACCCAAGACGGAGGCACCTTATTGGCTCAAATCTTTAAGAACGGTCGTACGGGAGCATGTCCAAAATGTGCAGAGACTCGTTACAGCTTACAAACTTCTCCGAATGACGCCATTTTTAATTCACTCTATACTTGAGCAAACTCAAAATTCCAAAATATACAGTTTCAGTATAGTTTCAAACAAGATACTAAAAAAATCTTAGCAAAGCCAAGAAGATGACCTCAGATTAATGATTAGCCACCCCGAAAACCCACGTATACCAAATTTGACGCAGATCGGTGGATTTTTCGAAAATATCGTCCACCATATTGGATCCGCCAACTTGAATTTTGCATATTTGACTTCAGATTCGTAATCAGCGACCGCAAAAACTCCCGTATGCTAAATTTGGCGTAAATCGGTTGAATTGTTAAACAAATTTTCAAATTTTTTAAAAAATATTGATTCGTGATCGATATTTTTAAGGTTAGAAACAGCTGAGACGTGGCAGCTTAATTCTGGAGGTCAAAATACATTGGAAAACATATA